AATTTAAATTAGTTTAAATAGTAAGATAGTACATTTTGGCCAGAAGTTAACCCAAACGAAACTGACCAAAACATAAATTAATCTCGTATGATTTTTGCCTCTGATCTCTCTGCAAAACATTTTAAATGCACACATGCCAACGCTTAGGTACCCTTAGCAACAATAACGAGCTAAAATGCAAGAATTTCTTAACGACGTGGCAAACTCTTTGAGTATTTCATAAACCTCTTTCCTTCAAAAGGGAAAAATTGCCTCGGACACTTTGAATTTGTGCGAATCGTTGCTTGTACACATACATACACACATACATACATTTAAACGGTACCTAGGCATAATAAGAGAGCACTGAGAGTAAGCACTGCGAGTATGCGATCCCGTTCTACCACACAAATCATATGGACAGTGTTGCCATTTTCATTCCAAAAAAGCTAGATATTTAAAGCTTTAAAAAAAAGAACAAAACAGTCAAATGTTGTTCAAAAAAAGCTGAACAAAAAACATAAATTTTAAAGGTATTTTTTGAAATTTTTGTAGAAATTCAAGGACTCGCTAATGCCGACTAAATGCAAATAATTACTGTTTGTTGTTTCAGCCAACAGCAAAATAAACTTGGCATCATCCATATCTTTTTGCAGATCCTCATAGAAATGAGGAGCAAAAGCATTTTTCAGTATATTTGTGCATTTGGTTCGTTGCATTTTTATTTGGCTAGCCGTGCTGCTGTCATCGAATTGCATAGCAAACAAACTTGTCAAATGATCCTCCGGATCCACTGCAGTGTGTTGGGCTATAAAAAAGACTGCGCAACCTCTTGCTCTACTGTTTTAACTGGCCATGTACAAAGTCTATTTTGTTTTTTTTTTGGGTATGTCCACCAAGCAGTCTTAAATGCTTTTTTGTGGCTGCATGTGCTTTTAAATCGGATAACTTGGCCGTGATATTACTTTTGCAATAACTGCAATAAGCCCACGTATCGTCAGTAACATCCTTGCCGAACCAGCTTTTTTTAGTTTATGAACAGTTTTCGACATTTTACAAATCAAAAGTTTATTAAGTTGTGGAATTTATTGCCTTAGTGGTGTGAGTTTGAATTTGAAACTAATAGCGATACCAACATGCCAACTTCACGCTTTCCTTTCAATAATGATACCAACTTCGCTCATTTGAAGTTTAGACACATTTTGGCTAATATTAAATAATTTTATAAAAGCGAAAAGCAAGTTAATCTCATTTTTAAAAAGCCAGATCCGACGGGAAAAAATCTGAATTGGCAACACTGCATATGGATGACAGTAATCCAAAGCAGTTGTATTGGGAGCGAGATAATGTATCATATGTATTTCTTACTCTCTTGCTTTTTGATCTGGTTTGCTCTGCTATGCTCTCTCTCTCTCTGGTTTTGATTCTAATTTTTTTTAGGTTCAATTTTTTGGTTGCAGAGCTTAACTTACCGCGTACGACGTCCGGCGGGAGCTCGGTCGGCTGACTTTCGCGTATGATAAGCTCCGTTTTGCGGGGCTTGGGCTCTTCGTCCTGTTCAATGACCTTGGGCGCAAAGAGCCTGTCGGATTGAAGGATAATGAGGAATAGTGAAAGCTGACAATATAATAATCTGATGTACTTACAACTTGAAATGTACATTGCAGTACAGATTACCTTCGTGACTCTGGTAGTTATCGAACCTGAAATGAATAGTTAGTTAGGATTTCCAGACAATATGTAATCGATTGACTTTGGTTCGATATCTTATACATACTTCAATTGTTTTGCGCAATCTTGGCAGCGCAAGCACGATTTGTGGTAGATATCTTTGCCAGTCTTGAACTGAACTATGACCTCTTCCATTTTATAGACCGGCTTGGTGCAATGTCGACAATGGGTCTGCTGCTCATCTTGCAGATTCTATAGAAACAATATTCATACTTTACACTCATGCGCTCCAAATAGTGTTATTCTATGGTATATTCTTGTTATTGGAAAATGATTTGTGATATTTTTATATTTTTTTGACATGCTCTGGGATTAATCGAATATGGTGTGGCTCATAGAAATGTTTGGATTAATTAATGATTTGCTTACACTGAAGATTTCTTGGGCTTTACTTGAATCACTTGAACGTACATGGATTAAATTGCGCTTCTGAAGGGCGTCGAACTTGTTAAAACTGCTTTTCTGCGAATAATATAATATAATATGTAAAGCCTAACCTAGTTTTTTATTATGGGAATGTAACTTACCACAGATATATTTTGATTATCGTATTCGCATTTCTTTGGCTTTTTTGCTTTGCTCTTCTTTTTAAGAACTACATTCCCATTCCCATCCCCATCACCCCCTGCATTTTTTCCTGACAGTTCCTGAGGTTCCACAGGTGCTCCAACGACGGAATCTACAGTTTTTCTATCATTCTCCCGTATTGAGTTTGTCGATCCCGTGTCCTCGAGTTTAGTTTCCACAAGTATCTCAGTTTTGGAATTCGTTTTTATTACCTTTTTAAGAGTTTTTCTTGTTGTTTTTATTGACTTAGAAGCCAAGTGTTCTTCCTCGGCGTTTATAACAGTCTTTATCTGCATACGGATTGCATTGAATTAATTAAATAATATTAATATTATAATATATTTGTGTTAAGGAAGTTCGAAAGGATGCAATTGTAGGTCGGATCTGAAACAGGGTATATCCCAAATGTAGGCTCTGGACTGGAGCATAGGTATGATTTAATTAAAAACAGAGGTAAGGAACAAATTACCCCAAACATTATTATATATTAATCTTTTTATTTTGCATAGTATGTACGGACAATAAACACCGAAGTTATTTTAGAATGTGCGAGAATGTGTTGTATATACAACATATATATATATACTACCTGCTAAAATTGTTTTTTTTTTTTTCTTAGTATTGCTCACCTTTTTAGTTTCCATTGGGCAGACTGGGGGCTAACACAGTGACCCTTTAAATATATAAAGATATATGTATGAAAATAATTGATTCCTTTTGATATACACATGTACACAAACAAACGAGTTAATTATATAAGCTGGCAAATAATGGGTTAAATTTTACCTATGTATATGTGCTACTTATGTGCATGATTTACCTAAAATACGTATTCGTATTATTCGAATTGTATATTTAGTTATTTGCGCGTACCTGAGACCTAAATGCACTTCTAAATACATATGTATGCTTTTACCTACATACATACATATGTACATATGTACATATGTATAAAAATACGCATTCGTTCGGAATTCGGACACACATCTGCATGCATACACACACACACTCGTACGCATATACGCGTGTGTATACCTACATATTTATACACGCTTGTAAAAGACCGAATGGTAGAAGATGTTCATGTGTTGGAAGGGGAGTGGTGGCAGGAGGAAAGATGCGTCAGCCTCTGCCCATTGAAATGCTATGCATGCAATCTTAAAATGGTGTGCTATTTTCGTAATAAATATTTTTCAAGCAAGTTTTTTTAAATTCCCTTATTGTGCAATTACACGTAAGGGATATGCAACGGCATTGGTTCTCATTTTAAATATTTGTTGTATTTCAATACTCTAATAAAAACTTAATAAAATCATACATATGAACATTTAATAAAAAATGGGTTATTATTATTATATGCATAATATTCCTATCTTGCGAATTAATTATACATTCAAAAGTTACCTTAATATGAGCTGTCGCTTAGTTTCTTCAAGATGTATTCCCTGCACCGTAAACTTCCGTTACTTTTTCACGAAGGCACACGACACTGATCGATAGTTCTTTGGTGCAAATCCAATCGTCGACTGTTCGGATCTAGATATGAGCACAGAATTCGATGCTGGCAATGAGAGCATTTTGAAGCTTTAGCATATATATATATATATATATATATATATACATATGTATATAAATGTGTTTGGAAGCTTTTAATATACCTAGTCTGTTTTTACCAGCAAAAGTTCTGAAATACCTCTCTGACATATTTTTGTATTTAGGTGATTCAGTTTAATAACGCAAAAGGATTGCAAGAAAAATCAAAAAAGAATATTTACGCTCGGCTCGCCGAAGATTGGATACCCTTGCATCATACATATGTATAATCGATTTGTGATTTCGTACAAAAATCTGTTGATATTGTTTAGCAATATGTATTCTTATATTCGAGGCATTTGAGATAACTCCATCCTGGTTGAGAGGTTGGGTTGATGGGTAAAATTTAGGAAAAACACCAGGCTAGCTTTTACCTGGAAAATGGAAGTCGGATTAAATTTTTAAAAATGCTACTATATTAATTATTGCTTACCATTTTTTTTTTTAAATTTTATTCTATATTATATTCTGTTAAAGTAATCGATGGTTGACAATTATTTTTGTTAATATTAACACTTTATTTAAACGTTGAAATATTCTAATTATTGAATATTTAATATTTATGCACGTATAAATATTTTCTTAAGTCAAACCTAAGAGCAAAACTAAAAATAACTGAGATGAAGGAACCAAATATACAAAACAAAGATAAAAGCATATAATTTAATACATAGAATTAAGCACGTTTACAAGAATGACGGTCACAATTCGATTGCCTAATATGTAAACAATTCTATTGGGCATTTCCCCATTAATAATGCAAATATATTTATTTATTACTTATAATAATTTGAGACCTTCGACTGTTATTCGGTTGTTGATTTTTTATGCCCTTTATATAAAAGTTATCAATTAGATATTGTTGACTTTTAATATCGGAAAACTTTCCAAGAACTGAACACATTAAATAAATTTACAATATTTTGTTGTCGATTCGCTCTTCGTTTTTTTATAGAATTGTGTCGATACCCCGTGAATTAAACAATAGATACACATAATTAAGTAGATTGGGAAGTCCGCTGTCGATATAAATCGAGTATTACTTTACGCTCAAATACTGAATATTTTTGTTTCTACCGTGAATGAAAAAAAAGAAACATGAAAGAGAAAATATTGCAACAAATTTAATGCTACAGGATGGTACCATGTATATATGTAGTTGTGTATATTTTATGTAGGGATATATATGCTTATATACCAACCATAAAAAGTCTCGCAATGCCTAATAAGTTAATAATTAAATGCAAGCGTTCGATTAGTAGTAGTTTAATTTGTAATGCCACTATTTTTGCTTTTCATTTAGCCTTGTTGAGATCTTTGCCTCCATGTGAGTGCATGTGAGTGTGTGAACATGCTTGCAAGGAAGATAATGTGCGGGAATATAGCTATTTAGGTTCTTTAATTGAAAACCAAGTAGGAGTTGTGTTAAGTCTATCACTTGTATGGCAGTGTGTTGTCAATATAGATATATAGACTAACAACAAACAAACACCGCCCTAAGCCCTTAGATGCATGGCAATTAATTGTTCCATATTCTGCTAAATATCCTTTGATGGTGCTTTTATCTTTTGTGCGTGCGGGAGTAAGTTGGCATTTGAAGCCCTATTGATTGGCCTGTCAACTGAATATGCTTTATAGCAATCCATCTCCAACAAGGCCTGCGAGCCACCCAAATTAATTGTCGTAAGTCCCGAGTCGGCCGAGTTGGAAGTTATGATTGATTCGGATAGATGCGTTTGTGATTTTGTGGCTTGTAGCCCCTTTAAGGAGTTGATTGTGGACATAGCCGGTAAGCCTGAAAAAAATATTTACATTATTTATTATTAATTTAAAGCCAAGTCGTTTTATATTACACTCAGATCCGTTGACAGTCGTCTGGGGCAAACTCGATAATGCCGATGGATATCTAGAAAGGCCGAGAGAATTGCTTTTAATGCCAGCAGGAGCGCTGCTCTCCAAAGCCGCTGTCGGTACACTTTCTAGTGTTGAACATTTAACGCTCGTTTTGCTGATGATGTCCGCTAAAAGATCAACAGGCAACGCGGAATTGCTAGCTGGCGATACCGTCGCCCCAGACAGATTGGGGCCATGCTTGTAATCGGCACCGCCAAATCCAACATAATTAACGCGGCCACTGCAGTGGCTGTTATCTCTTTCCGAGGCTGCCGAGCCTGTGGCAGCTTCATTACCACAACTCGGTTTCATGCCTGAAAGTAATATTAAGCAAGTTAATTAAAATTGAAAACAGTTTGCGAGAGGTTTGTCTGAAATTCACCTGTCACTGGCGATTGGTCACCGCTAATGCTTCCCCCGCCTCCAATACTGCCTCCACCAGCGCTGCTTGAACCATCACCGCCGCCTCCGCTTGTGCTGCTTGGAGGTCTGGGAAGGCGACGTCGCAGCCAAGGGTGCTTCAGGGCTTCCGAGGGCGTTAGTCTTTTTTCCGTATCCCATTCCAGACATCCGCGAATAAAGTTAAGAAAGAGCGGATCCTTACAGCCATCTAATGCCTTTGAAAGACTCTTGGAGCATGGTGGTCCACGTGGCTTGCCTCGCCGTGACTGACCTCCGATTAGTACCACCATCCCATCAGGCATGGTGCGGACAGTACAATAGCGTGGATAACCCTTTGGACTGAAGAAAGTTTTCGCTCGCTTCGAGCTCGCCAATAAAGTTTTGCTTGGCATTCCAAGAACTTCGATAATGCAGGCTAACTGGTCGCTTTCGTTTTCTCCGGGAAATAGAGCATGCCCCGACAGCAGCTCAGCAAGAATGCATCCGAGCGACCACATGTCAATAGCTCTTCCATATTTTGCGCCCAAAATAACTTCGGGTGCGCGGTAAAACCTTGATTGTATATATGTGTAAACACGTTGACTTTCAAAGCATGACGATCCAAAGTCAATGACCTATTGACATAAAATAGTGTTTATTTCAAATGGATGGAGGATATTTATAGACTTGATTTTACCTTGATACCAGAGCGACCTTGCTGTTTGAGTAACACATTCTCCGGCTTCATATCACAATGAATTATCTCATTCTTGTAAAGTGCATCCAAGCATTGGAGCAAGGAATGAGCAAATTTACGTACCAGCTGTAGGCTGAAACCCTTGAAGCCGTTTTTCTTTATTAACTCATATAGATTGATGCTGAGGAGTTCGAAAGTGATGCAGGTGTGATTCCGAAAGGCAAAATAATCATACATATGAATGATGTTCATGGTGTTGTACTTGTCGTGGCGTCGCAAGTGATGCAGTATACGAATTTCCTCTTGTGCCTGCCGATGGAAGCGTTTCTCGTTTCGCACAATTTTCAGTGCAACATGTTCGTGCGTCTTGTGATCATAGGCCTTGATAACCTGTCCAAAGCTCCCTTTGCCGATTATTTTAAGCATTTCATACCGGTAGGCAACGTGATCATGGGGTATATGAATATAGGCGCCCTGCTCATTGTCGTAATCGGAATTGTTGGGTCCATAAATTCCCGGGCGTTTCTTAGCATTGGCGCCAATAAAGTAAATCTGCGGATAGGCCAATATTTCCGTACGCTCGTATGGCGTCAATTTATGCATGTAAAGTATCATAACTTGCTGCGGCGAAACCACAAGTGCCTTTGGTTTATCCTGCAGTGCACTCTTTTGTTGGCCAGACATAATGATTTGTTCATGAAACGAGAAATGCTCGCCGCCAGCTATTACGGATTTCTGATGCTGCGATACCAAAGCGAGTGAGTCAACTGCCGCGGCATTTAGAGACAAATCCTTTTGCGGTGAAGTTGGCGATGCTTCCGATTTCGGCGTGACAATTGTAACGTTCGGTAGAGAGCTTGCTATTAAATTGAATATATAATTAGTATGTATAGAAAATAAATATTGCATACATAGCTGTACCTTGAATCGATTTTGAGACTCCACATCCATCTATGGCTGAAACATGTACCCTGGGATGATCTGAAATAAAATTCGAAATCTCATGCGTTGGCGGTTTTAAGGGTAATTTACGATCCTGAAAAATAGCCAACGATCCGTAACTGCTGCTATAAAATGGAACCTCTGTACAGGAGCGATGCGATGATAAACTATTTGGATTCATTTGATTTGCACTTCCACTTGGATTTTGGGGCATAGTCAGAGTCAGCATCGCGGGTGAAGTTGTTGTTTTTCCCAACTGCATCTCGATGGAGGCCGATGGCAGCATATCCCCGGTGAACGTGCTGGCATCCAGAATGGCGTTCGCCGTGGACAACTGAACATTATTTGTGTTCTGTGTGCCGACCATTTCGTTGAAAATATAGCTATTTAGCTGGCTATTGTTGTTGTCCAAATGGTTAAACGTCCTGTTGTTGGTGTTGTTATTGTAGCCGGACAGGCTTTGATTATTGTTGCCGGGCTCTAAAATTGCGGCCGTAAATTGCTTGCTTGCTTGCTCTTTAGTTCTGGCAGAGCCTATTTCATCATTGCGCACATATTGTCTGGCTTGATTTTCTTGAGAGGATTCGCGTGGAGCTGTAGTTGATTGCAGGCCGAGGTTCTTTTCCGATTTGGTAAAATTGTTTAACGGTTGCGATCGATATGACAATGACATTACTAATCGAACTGCGCTCGCCGACAACGAATTTAAACTTGTTATGCTTTGCGTGAGATTTTCTTCTTGGACTTTCTCCGACTCGCTGACTATGCTGGAGGTGCTGGCAGCTAGATCCTCTAATGCAGTGCCATATCGGTCGCTATTCGAATCATGGGATGATAGTCTACTCTGAATCTCGGCTTGACGCTTTAGCTGGGCACGATCTTTTTTCGGTATTAACCCTGAACGAATGCAGCTGTTGTTTATATCTAGTTCTTCACAGGATTCGCCAGATTCATGATCTTCTGATGCACTCTTCTCATCATCCGCAATGTTTATTAAATTGGTTGCATTTGTCGAAAATGGGCTACGATTCGAACTTCCATTACCTGGCAGCTTGTCGGCGGCACCGATTTCTAAAGACTCATGCCTGGCCACATCATCGATTAGAGAAAATAAATTATTTGCCGACGGCGAAGCACAGTAATTTCGGGTCTCTGCCCCCAAAATGTACTGCTTTATGGAACCTGCTCGAATTTGATTGTCCAGCGATATCGCGCCTCTCTTCACAGTTGAACGCTGGCTGAACCTAAATTCTCGATCATCGCTTTGGTGGCGCTTGCTTAATTTTTGGTATCTGGCATTTTGCAAATGCCCCACCTTCGCTTTGCCAAGGTAAATGCTTAAATTTCTATAATCGTGATCGACAACAAATTCGCTAAGTGTTGGTGTGCCTCGCCGAACTGTGGCAAATTCGGATTCTGGATTGTGCTGGTGGACTAGTGGATAATAGTTGGATGATATTGAAATATTCGTCCGTCTGCCAAATGGACCGTCCAATAGAAGTGGGCCCTGTTGCCTTTTTGGCACGTATTTTATTTGTCCATTGGCGCCCTGTTGCGTATGGTTTGGGTCTATGCTGGCAACGTCATCGAAGTCCCGTTTATATCTCGTTCCAGGGACAGCTTCCAGATAACCCTTGTCTGTTTTCCTGTTGACTGGCCGCCCACAAAGAGCGCTCAGAATGCTAAAGCTTAGCACATTTTTTATTGAATTCTGCTCTTTGCTTTCAAATGTGCACTTTTCTAGACTTTTACTCCGCTTTGTAGCATTTAATTTATTTGGGCACTCACTTTGCTTCCACATCAAACAATACGGTACCCTTGCGCGTGTTGTGTGATAATCTACCGATATTATTCATTGTGGTTAGCAGTACGAATTAATTGATACATATGTACTCGTCCGAAAACATTAATTATTACTACAGAACCGATTATAACCATATGTACTAATGCTTTTTTGTACAAATGTCCACAGCAGTATTTCGACACAATTGACACGCAGTGTGTACATATGTATGCATAAAGTTTTTTCTCGCTATAGTAGCAGTAGGGTTGGTTGTTTGAGCAACGACCAGATACGACATATCGATAGGCTGCTCGACTCTATCGATCCGTTAGTTGAAAATAGTATATCGTGTGTAATTGAATTTTGTTTATGAAATCAATGTGATTTAGCAACTGATTTAAACGCGTTTTTATTTTATGTTACTTGCTTTACATAAGAAACTATTTAGTAATTATTACTCTTTTAACTCTCTTTAATTATTAATTAGAGAGGACTCTTAGCATATGTATCGATAAGTCAATAAATCAATATCGATTATATACATATTAATTTCTAAATAACATTATTTTATAAGTAAATGTAATTATAATTTTTAATTAAATATGAAGTGGGAAACCATGAATACATCCAAACAACCATGAGTGCAAGCATGTGCATATGCAACTACAGATGTATACAAACAGGCCGCGAGCCGAATCTCACAATTTCTCTGCTACTTGCAAAGACATCGTATACTTAAAGTCGATCAGAAAATGTACAGCTTAAAACAATTCTAACTTAAAACATATTGTATTGAAAAATTTGCCAACGTGAGATTCCCTGGGATGGACACACACGGCTCTATCGTAGCGTTGCCACATGGTCGAAAATACCGATGTTATTCATCCTCGGTTAATTTTCGATTATATATTTTGTAAATATCTGGCAGTCCTGGTGTGCGAGTGTCAAACTATCGCTGATGAGAAATTGTAAATATCGAATATATGATTTGGCGCAAGCTGATATAATTGAAAATTATAAAACAAAGACTACTTTTATAAAAATGTAAATTCCAACATTAGTTATTCTTGTATGCCGTATTATTTATATTCCATTAATAATAATATAATAATTATTACCCGGCACTTTACTTAAACTGCCCGTTGTACGTGTTGCTATAAAATAAATTAAACTTTGCGTATACTACTTTTCTTGTATTTAAAAATAGGTTCGCAGAAATAAGTTTGAAATTAGCAAAAAATTAATTACATTTTCTAATTGAAATGAATATGCATTTATTTTCAAAGACTTATTTTAGATAAGATTTATATTATTTGTTAGGTATGTGATAAACTGTCTCTTGGGTATCTTAAATAAATAACTGATTTCCATAAAGTGCATTTGATCCATTTAAATATGCATATACATATGTATATATTTGTATATCTTTTTGTTTTGTATGCGTACATATTCGTTATATTCAATTCATATTTATAGCCTGTAACTACTTAAACTATGTTTTTTTCTTTTAATCTGTTGTAATGCTTGTAAATAGTTGTACGCGCTTGATGAAATTACACTGATAACACATTTATACTATAAATCACTTAATTATTCTAGGTCGAATATCATTAGTAATGTACGGTATCTCATTTTTTTAATCAGCTATTGATATATATTACTACATAAATAAACCCGCTTCACATACAGTTACTGTTATGTATATATATACGTGCGCATATATATATATATATATATACACATATGTATGTATGTACGCAATATATATATTTTTGTATGCACACTCATGTTGTTATAAAGAGGAGCACACATACTTTTACGCAATTCATGTCGACATACATATATGTATATGTACGTAACTACTTAGTTTGCTATGAACCACAAGATTCTATATGTAGGCCATCTTAATTTCCTATCACTTTATTTTAGAAAATATTGTTGGCTTTTGTTTGTTTTTAATTTTGATTGAAATCACAGTTTTAAAAATGTATTAATACGCGCATATGTATGTAGCTGCCCGTAAAGTATTATTAACTATTAAAAAGTTAACACATTTCACACTATAAAATATAGAAGATAATTATGCATCTCCAAAAGCAACATAATATATGCGACAAAGATATTAGGCGAACCAATTTTTGTTGTACAAATACAATTTCATTTACGTCCTGGCACATCTTTACAAATATTTTCATAATCGCAAAATATCTTAGATACATATACATATGTATGTAAATGCACACAAACATGCTTTACAGTTATTTGCAAGGCAAACTTTGGTTCGGCCTAAGAAATTATGATATTAAATGAAGAAAAACTAACTAGCCAACGACAACCATAATGTTTCGTAGATTCATTACATTCGCATTATTATTCGCTTTTTCTGAAAAATGTTTTTATCTCCACCATCAAAAGGGCTCGCGAAATTGAACACCAATACCATTATACCCTATTGACATTCGGTCACTCTGAATTGACGCAGTGGAAATTGAGCCGAATCTGGAATTTATAAGTTTATACATATGTACGTTGTGTGTAAGTATGTAATCAGCGCTCGCCATTTCATGTAAATATAAATTTCTATTATTTTTCCTTTGTTCTATTATTGTTAACTAGCAGGTATTGCCGGGCTTTGCCTCTGACAATTGATTTTCTTCAAATTTTAGCTATTACTTTTGAATTTTCCAACCGTGGAATAGTTGGAATCTGCTTACCCAACTCCAGGCAGTAGTCATCGTTTCCCCACTCAGTGCAGCACGTCTAAAATAGCCGTTTAAAGTCAATCGGATAAATAACAAAAGGTACCTCCTAACATATTTCCCTCTATATTGATTACCAATTTAGGTGGAGCTTTGCTGTTACGTCTCAAGTAGGTCGGACGGAAAATATAAGAGTCTAGTATAATATGTATCAAGATACATATTAAAAAAGTATAAATTATAAGAGTGTAGTTTACACAGATCAAGATACATTTTTGGATACCTTCTCCCCCCGCGTTCCCAATATATATATATATATATTTAAAAGATCGGACCGTAAGCACAGAAGTTATTCAAGATTAGATTTGTTTTAAAGGTTGGAGCAACGTAAACGTACAGTCGCTACACAGCTTGCGGAGTAGTGTGTATGTGTGTGTGTGTGTATGTTTGTGCATATATGCTTACTACACATAATCGGTAAGAAGGTATTAAACGGCAGTTGTGAGCTGGGCACGGGGTACGGGCTACGGGCTACGGGTTACGGGGTAGGGAGTATATCCTTGTTAAGTATGTGTGCTCGTTCGCAGTGTGAGCTCAATATATATATCATGCAAATGACCAATTTCCACAATACTTGTACATATTATATAAACAATTTAAATAACAATATTTAAATTTTTGGTGATTAATTAACCATTGATAAAATCATACTGATGTTTATATACATCAATGTGTAGTTATATATTTTTAACTATTTAATATTTGTTCGGTTGTTCCACGTTATATTGAGAGTCATTTTGCTACCATTTAAGTTCAATATTCAATTGAATGTAGATTTACTCATGCAATAAAAATGCCGTTAAAATTAGGTTCCCAATTTCTGGTGTCCAAAAACATATTCAAAGGCAATTGATTTTCTAATTTACTTCATTAGTATTTTATTGTGAGCTAATTATGTATGTTTAACCGAATTTGTTTTCGGTGGGAATGCTTTAGTGAAAGCAAAACCGTAATTGATTATAACTTCCTATTATGTATATAACACAGGTAATTTTTTTTTTTAGTTTTTGTTGTTCCATATATTTTTTTTGGATATACAAAAAATAATCAAATTTTCAACTCATGAGTTGTGTTGTTTTTTTTCATACTTGTGTGTGGGACGACGACACATACTTAATCAAGCAAGAGATGCACATTTGTCTTTATATATTGTATTCACACATAAATCTCGTGCATACATATATTTAATATATATATATATACATATATATATATATATACATATATCTATCTATCGGACTCTTGTGCTGCCATTCAAATTGAAAGTCAAACTGTACGTTAACTTTGGGAATCCGGATACTGAACACTTGACTTGTATACAATGGAAAGGTAAATGTGTAGGCATGTGTGTGTGTGTGTAAGTATAGTAAGTAAATAATTCAAGTATCAAGTATTTCCAAAGTATGATTTGTATGTACCATATATATATATATATATCGATTTTTGTCTTACATATACAGGCCCTAAAATCTATGAACGATAAAGAAAAATAAATCTACAGGCATACAAAATTCTAAGTCCATTCGTTTATCAGTCGATCCACTTTATGTACCTTTTCTCACATAACATAGTTGCGCTTTCCATGCTGAATCTAGTCCGTGTGTCCGTGTGTGTGTCAGTGTGTATGTAATGTGTCAGTGTGTGTATGTGTTGATTCACAGAATGCTATGCCATGGTCATCATCAAATTAATCATCAACTATGGAACAAACGAATTGAGATATATAATCATAATCTGCTTCCCTACCGGCTGGTCGACTTGGCCCCTGCTGTAGAGCCTGATTTTGAGTACTCTGACGCCACGTTGAGTTGCCGCCAGCCGCAGGGGTCACATTGGGAACATTTGGCTGTGCACCACCAGCAGTTGGGTTTTTGGTATTGTTGCCACCGTTACCACTTGGCGGGCCACCATTTACAGCCGTGTTCATATTGCTTCCGCTGCCATTGTTGCTACCTGTACTGCTGCTGCCAACTGATCCGGGTCCAACGGAATTGCCGCTGCCTCCGCCGCCGCTTGCATTGCTGGCTGCTCCGCTCGTTCCGACTGCAGTCGATCCACCGTTGCCGCCGGCTCCATTGCCGTTGCTGTTGCTGTTTCCGCCAGATAGGGTCGCAACACCAGAGCTGCTGTTGGAAACACTGGCGCTTATGTTGCTGACGCCGCTTCCATTGCCAACACTTCCCGCCGAGTTAGTCGAGGAGGGCGCTTGGGGCAAATGCTGCAGTATATTCTGGACTTCGTTCTCGCTGGGCGATTCAGCGAATATTGTAGTATTACCGAGCACACAATTGTTAAGTGCCATTTGTGCTTTGTTAGCCTCCTCCCGCGTTGTATATTTACATAAGGCAATTCCTTGGTTTAGATATGGGTGGAAACTAACAAGGGGACCATGTTGCATACACAAAGTACGTAAGGTAGAGCCGTCAATCTGCAAGCATTAGGTATTATTTTATAGGGTATTATATTAATTTATAAGCAAATAAAGAGTCGTATCTCAAAATCTACAAAAAAAAAATTGGCAACCCGCTTTTAAATTATCTCAGAATCGAAGACGTCTATTATATAAATAAATATGGCAAAATCAAAGCCTAACGCTCATTAAAATATTTTTCTGGTATACATTTTTAACCATTTGATAGGCACAAATAAAAATATGAAAAATTAGAAATATTTCAAAACAATAACGTAATTATTTGTTTATTATTATTATTATTATTATTAATTGTTTATTCGATTTTTAACATACCTGAGCATTTAGATTTTTCAGGAGCAACCAACTGGAGTTCCAGGCAGCATTAGCTCCAGTCCAAGTTGTATTAGTGTTGGGAACACTACGATTAGGAAGCCAACCATTGGAGTTCCCGGCCACGGTAGGAGATGGTGTGGTGGCTGTAACGCCGCCCGATTTGTTTGTGCTCAAGCCAGGCGGAGGTCCTCGAGATGAGCTTTTGTTTAGAGGACTTGTCCAGAGTTCTGAGGTGGCACATTGTTGACTGTTGTCTGACCAACTATAAATATATAACGAAATATTTGGGTTCAGAACCGTTTTTTCCATAATTTTCGTACTCATTCTGCTTTATATACACTTATTTCAAAACTAGCTAAAATTTCACATTTTTCAACCAAATTATTGCTCGAAATCGGCGAAGCACATTTAGCTTCATATTATACTATATGCAGATTTTAGAATATTAATAATAATAATGATAATAAAATTGGAATAATCAATTTTGCTTAAATATAATAGAAAAAATCGTTAATTGGTCTAAATATCTTGATCTATATATCTTTTATGTTTTAAAAACTTTCCATACACCAATTTTATATAACTTTAACATAATTTTGAATAAAAGACAGACCTTTATGACTCATAGTCTACTTTGGATGGAAAACAAATCAAATATATATATATATATATATATACTTATGATGTCCCAGACGTGTACGCCTATTACATAATAAATTGCTTAAATAAGTTGTAATACCCTCTATAGGGACCTTGAGGAAGAATATTTTACAATAAAAAAAAAAGGTAAAGTAAACTTAAAGGTGGGTGATGAGATTTGAAATTCGCAAACAAATATGTAACTTCTGCCAATACAAACGATTTTTTTCAGCGGAATTTAACAGGAATCTTTGGTTGAGTAAAATGTGATTAGCTAGGGAGGTAAAAATGTAGTTACCTAGGAAAATTTTGGTTTGGATTAAAACTCCACGTTGACGACGATAAACTTAGTGGTGGCAGATCAGTCGGAGAGTTCTTGCCGGTGTTGGCAAAAATATCAGCATCTTTTGGCGTCGGATTAATGGACAATGGAGATCTAGCTACACTGCCAGGAGTTATGCTTGGATCATCTTCAATGCTTTTGATCTGAGAACCCTTAAAAATCAACTTCTGCTTGGGTAGTTATTGGAAAGAGTACGCCAGTCTACAGTTACCTTCCACGGCTTGCCTGGCTCAAACTCCTGCACCAAGTCGGTATACGCAGCTGCTGTCGGTGCAACTGACCAGTCTTTGTTCTCGTTATCAATTGAAGGATCTGGCCAACCATCTCCAATATTGCGCCCAGTTGACCAAGTACTACAAAAAGCGATTCATTTATTTATTTATATTTAATGGCATTTTTTTTACTAACCCATCGTTTTGTAGGCCCAGCGGGCCCATGTTGCTTGAGTTGCTAGTTAAATTTTGTTTTGTTGCGCCCGGAGCTCGTGAAAAATCAGTGCTGTCCGTAGCGATGGTATCCTTTTCTAATACTGGAAGCTTCCACTGATTCAAGCGGGATTGCTGATTGGGAGCACCCTGATATCCACTTGGCTACAATTAAACGAATACACAACACATCATTTTATATAGTTAAAAATACGAGATACATCAGGGCACACACACAAAATCATTATACGGTCTTAAATAATTAAAAGGTATTGCAATTTAAAAGACAACTGTTTGCTGTAAAAGAAATAATATATCAATTATAAGTGCGTTCCCTATACGGCACAAAAAAAAAGTATCACATACTTTTGCTAGGATTCAAAATTAAATTATGATTTTATTCGAAAGTTAAAAACTAATCGCAGTAATAGTTTCTCGAACACGGCAGCTTTATATTGTCCTTGTCTGCGATTTCTTGGCTATCCTTTTTTCATTCTACACAAGTAGGTTTTATAATTTCGAATTTCTAACTAATTGGGTACGCACCTTATTAAGATTTAGCTCTGAGAAATTTCCTTGAAGTGTAGTTATTGCATCATGATTTCTTAGATAGTCATTTCCAGAGTTATTTATGTGTCCGGATGGATGTTGCTGCTGCTGCTGTTGCTGTTGTGAATTTTGTTGCAAGTTCTGTTGCTTTATATAAACAGCCTGTTGTGCATTTATTTGGTTTTGTAAATTTTGTATCTGTTGTTTGTATTTTGCAATGGTTACATTGACAACCATGGGGTTAGCGTTGCTGCCCCGAGAAAGAGATTGTTGCGCTGCTTGAAGATGCTGCCACATAGACAAACAAACAATAAATCAATTGTAATCAACTCATAATTGAAGAGAGGAAATATATACCTTTATACTGCTGAGTAGTTGGTTTAATAAATTTAAAGTATTTTGTGTCAGAGGCTGCGTCAAAATTTGACTGGATATAAAGCCGCTGTGGATGGCCAATTGAATTTGCTGACCAAGCTGGCGAATGTGCTGACCAGATGGTTGATTATTAGCATTTGATGCAATATTCACCGCCGGCGCAGCACTCGCTGCGTTCTGGCAAAATGCAACCGATGCATTCGCATTTAACGACTGTGGTCCACCGATTGCGACATTGTGCGGCCCACCTTGATTCAAATATTTTTGAACCTGAAGAACAGCCATATTCGGGTTATTGCCAGGTGTACCGCTCATATTGGTCATTAGGTTGTTCTGCAATAAAAAAACGCGATATTAAATAAAAAACTAGCAAATTTTGATAAATATTAAAGAGCGCTGTTTACCGGAGGGAATGACATCGATGGCTGTGCGCTGCCAACGGGATAACGTTGGGGGAATCCGCCCGTATTTGTCGTATTCGAGTGATCAGCGTAGGAACCAAGTACCTCTTCGTGACGGCGCCAACCTTCCATTGCCAGAGACGAATTGGGATTTGCCCGGAGCATTTCGGCTGCCTCCTCAATATTCATGTTGGTACTTAGTAATGCTCTTTCGACGTCTTCCTTTTTGAAGCCGTTCTCAACCAAAAGCCTATATTGCTTGCTTTGCTTAACCATATCTGTGTTAAGGATGCCAACACCAACATTAATGCCAGCGATTTTTTGCTGCTGCTGCTGTTGCTGGGATTTTCCTACAATGCCACCATGTGGCCAATCCGATGACAAATCGCCGCCTTCCACACTGCCTCCAACTGTATTCGCGTTGCTCCAACCAGACGATGCGCCGCCTGCTGCCGGCAATTTACTTTGTTTATTACCCCCCCAGCCGCCACCGACACCGCCGCCGCCACCCGAAGGAGAATCACTCCACGAGTTGGCGTTTGCTCCAATTTGTGCAAGTGAAGTGCTTTGTTTATCATCGACCCAGTTGTTGCCTGACACGGCGGCACCGCCAACATTGTGACTATCATCGCCCCAAGAGCTTACTTGAGCATTTCGACCGCCACCGCTATTATTGGGATGCACCCACATGGCACCGGCGTCGGGTTTACCGTGCTGGCCGCCAACAACTCCACCGGGGCCAGGAGTGTTAGCCAGGCGAGACTGAGGCCCAACACCACCACCACCGCCCATTGAATTATTGGGATTTCCACCGACTGGAACATTACTATTGCCAACGATACCGCTGCCGACGATGTTGCCCGTTGCATTTTGGGCTCTCATTAAGTGACTACGACTCATTGAGTCTGTCATGTCCTTCCAGTGGGCACCGCTTCCAGGTAAGCGCGATTGTTGTCCCCATAGCGAGGTACCGTCATCATAATTGGGAATATTGCGACGTTGTGGTGGGGGTGAGGGTTCCTCCCATCCAGTGATTTGCTTGGAAATATCCTTGGGGCCACCAACGACGGCCTGTGTGGCTCCCCACTGCGCCCCGACATTACCGGATACGGAACCAACACCGCTTGGGCCAATATTTGAGCTAGCAATATTTGACCCTGTTGCGCTAACAACGGGGCCGACCATTTTGTTAATATTCTGAATCTGGTTGTGAGCAATCTGAGGATGATGTCCCCACATTTCGGACGTGCCATTTAGTCGACCAGATATGCCACGCGGATCACCACGTATCGGATCCCGAGGATCAATCATGCGCAAGTCACGCGGATCTCCTGTTGGTGCGCCAACACCACGCATTGTAATTGGATCACGGGGATCGACGTTTCGGATGTCCATGGGACCGGCTCCAGCCAGCGGGCGCATATCTCGAGGATCACCCCAACCATTGCCAGTACTGCCGCCAACATTGCCGCCAGCTCCACCAACCGTTCCGCTTACAGCCAAATTGTTGCCACTACTTCCACCTATGTATGAGACAAGGTTTCAAAATTCATCCAATCATAACAGATAGCCAAATATACAATGAACAAGCAGAGATGGCATTTCCGACAGCATAAAGTATATATAAAAGAAAAATCCAATTTTTCTACAGATCTTTGGAATCTGTATAAACTACACTAGAACCTTGTGAAATTTCTAGATCTTTTTAATACCGAGATATCTCCTGCTATGTAGTATATATTTAAAGGGTCAGATCGACTCCGATATGGATGTTGACCAAAGTTATATACGTATTTGCTTTATGAAGCCGGACATGATTCTTCTGCACATTCAAATCGAGTGATGAAAATGTTTTTTTTTCTTCGACAAATTCCAAAATAGAGATGTGAGAATTTGCCTGACAATAAGTAAAAATATTTGATTGTACTTACATCCGGGAGCCACGGCAGGCAGGGCTCCTGTTGCCGGCGCATTGTTATTCCCAGTCGAGTTTAAGGCAACTCCGACTCCGACTCCAACACCAACAGCCTGTCCCCATTGGGGGCCAGCAGCGGCGCCAACGCCAGGCGCATTGGCACCGACTGCAACACCAGACGTTGTGCTATTGGATGACTGACCCGTCCAAACGCTGGTGCTATCGGCGCCATCATCGTCCTCGCCCCAAGTTCCACCCAAATTTGATGAAGGCGTATGCCCCCAAGATGGCTTTGGCACTTGTTGAGCGGGTGGCTGACCGCCGTTTCTTAAATTCGATTCCCACAAATCGGTGCCATTGTTAATGTTTGGCTTCCACATTAGCGGCCCCCCCGATGGGTCCTTATTGGCCGGCTCTGGTGAGCTGGGCACCTCCCAATTGGTATCCTGATTAACGTGTTGGCATCCCCAGCCATCCTGAGAGAAAAGCGCCTCGCGCATCGTGTACAACTGTTTCAATTGATGTTTAGCTGCACTAGCTGTTGGCGCATTCCTATTTCCAGTTCCGACTAGTCCTTCATCGACTTTGCCGCCATCGTCATTGTCATTAAATGAACTCTTACGGCTATTGGTAATAATCTTGTTTTCAATGGTTAAACTCTTCTTGCTCTTCTTTTAAGAACGATATTTCACTTATCGTATATTCCGAAAACTTCCTCTATTTATGATTGTTGTTTATATATTGCCTACGAAAAACGGTAACAATATTAATGTAGATTAATAATTAAACTCGAGAGTATTACAAAGATTCATATACGTATAGGTATATTTTTGAAAATCGAATCGCTCAAAAGGTAATTATTACCTGTCTGTATAAGTGTCGAAAAGGTAAGCAATTTTCTCGTGAAAGGTACACATATTTATTTGAATATCCTTATAACATTTATGAACAACTTAATCTCCGTACTAAGACACAAATTTTTTATCCACTTAATTTGTTTCTATATTGATTATATTATAATTTAGGTTTGAGATACATTTTACACTTTTACTGAAAAATGTATACATTTATGCATAAAGATGTGTGCGTGTGTGTGTGTGTGTGTGTGTGTGTATGTGTATAAACATACTTGACAACTCTGGTCAGTAGTCATTGACGCAATCACCCTATTTAACTCTGTACTTTTCTTCACTCACACATTTGCAGATACACAAAAACACACTCATACGCACGACGAATCAACAAATATTCTATACCATATACACATGAATTTATACAGATTTTCATTCACATACACAACTTATATGCGGAGCATCTACAAGACATTTCAAGTTTGCATGTATTTTATTTATTGATAATGTACATTGATGTTTCGATAGGTCAACATGTGCATAATAAAATTTTACATCATTGTATTAATGTACATTTATATACTTTTGATGCTTATTTATACTCGTCAATCTACAAATATTTACATGCAACATACAAGATTGGACAAAAATAAAACCTTAAATTGCCTTTTCTTTTTTTCTGAACATACATAAATCGATTAAAATTAAATTTTCTGCACAAATATGTCTAAAGACAGATACATACAAACACATAAATGTATGTATGTTTCTAAAAGCCAAGCCACTTCGACGATTTCACAAAGTATGTATGTATGTTGTAGGTTTTCATGAACATCTGTATGCCAAATTAAATTCTTGCTTCACACATTGTTCGAAAATCCCGGGAAAAAAATAAGTTACACTGCATATTGATCTTTAGTGTATTCACATTCGTAATAAAAAGAAATGTATCAAGCGGATTTTAGTAAATAATTACTTTTTGGTGAAAGAATTTATCACTCCACACGTTCAATGGGACGGGAAAATTTACTCTGTATAAATGGCTGCTCCCGCAATGTTGCCACCTAGCCAGGTTTTATTCAAACCAAATTTTATAAACACTGTTAATATATAGCACACTAAAAGTTTGCCAGTTTCTTTACAAATACCTGTACAAATACTTGATAATTTCAATGTAATTGCAGACATTTTGAATTATTTACACTTTTTTCATCATTGTCTTATATAAAATACCTAAAACGTGGCAACTCTTTGTAGGAGCTATAGCTATTTCTTTCTAACTTACAAATATAAAAAAGACAAACAGATGCATACATTTTTATGTATATATGTACATGTGTTAGACTTTAGTTATCCATGTCGCGTTTACGCGCTTTATAGCGTTTTACCTTAGTACTATCACACACCAACAATATACTAATAAAAATATGTTTAAATCTTCAAAATATATTACACATTTTCGTTTAATTTGTATTTTTACCTATTTTAAAACGCACTTGTGCCGATACGTTGCTCTCGCTCACTCTTTTTCTGCGAATCTGTGTGACCATAAGCGGTCAATGCAAAAATACTCAAACAAGTATAGAAATAAAACAAGGAACGCAAAATAAAAAATACTAATTGATATTATTTCTATAGTTGAGTATTTTCAAAATAAGTATAACTTCAGCAAAGAGTTGCCACGTTTTAATTATTGTCATTTTATATAAATCGATAATTTATATAATAATAATCGTATAAAAATTCCATTAGAAATATCAAGTGTTCCTTCAGAGGTATTTAATTTATTTATGCTTGGAAATTTGGATTTGAATAAAACTTGACCGAAGTGACAACATTGCAAGAGTTTTGTTTGCTTCTTAAATAAGTTCTGTGTGTATAAAAAACTGAATTTCAACCTACTTCTTCTTGCTATTATTGCAGCTGGGAGTAATTTTTTCCTTCATGACCAACCACAAATCAGTGGCTGCCAGCCTGAGCCGACCTACTAGCGTTGCCTCCATTTCTTCTACTGCCAAATTGAAGATCACAAAAGAAGCACCTCCTAACCATCGGTAAAGCCGGTGGAGCAGTAGCAGAGCTGATGAGCAGATCATCCAAAAAAGATTATAGCAATTGACCTTTTAAAGGGCTCCTTGGGGTTTCTACTGTTGGATATATGAGCTAGCCAAAAATAAATGTACGTTTCGTTACTTTTGGCTTAATTATTTACTAAATTCCTCTGCTTCCTTACCAGGGATTACTTAAAGCACTTGGAGCTGCATCAAAGCAGCAACGCATCGCCTACAAAGTTCGAGGGATTGCAGCCGCCGGTTCCAGATTTGATGCTATTAAATGTAATTAAATCTAATTAAAACTAATTATAATAATATTCACCATGTGCTCAATTATCATCATTGCCGATGTCAATCCGATTTGAAGTGCGACTCATTTCAAAACAAATTTGTTAAGTATGTGAAGCACTGCTAATTAAAAAATATTGGATTATTAAATCCCATCTCAAATAATAATGTTGAGTCATATTTAAATTGTTCCATGCTCCATAACTAACAAAATAAATTCATCTCTATATATAAAACTGTCCTGACTGATTGGTTGGTATATATTGCCAAATATCACGATTTTCGCAGAATGCAAGCTTCCTCTGTAGAAAATCCGTTCAAAGATTTTTTGAGCCAAGTGTTAAGTTTGCATATATATGTATGCCTGTTTGTACATACATGTATGCATAATTGTTTTGTATATACATATGTATGTATGCAAATTTGCATGCATGCGCACATGTATGTGCGGATACCTACATTCATGTACGCAACATACATACATACTCATGTATACATGCATTGTTGCATATATAAATATATGCATGCATGCATATATGTTTGTGAACATGGCTGCAAATTTATGTATGCATGTTTGTTTGTATATGTGCAGATACATATGCACATACATACATATGTACACACATACATATGCACATATATACATATTCACATATATACATATGCACATATATACATACATATATACATACATACATATACATTCATATCTACTTACCCCCTCCACCTCCTGCGCCAACATCTCCTGCACAGGCCGTTGGAGCCAACGTTTCCTGCCTTGTTAAATTTCAGCGAAGCCTACTTGAATTCTTGAGAATCGAGGAGGAGAGCACTGTGTAGAAATTCGTTTTATTTATATTTGCAGCACAGCGACAAATAAGCTTTTTCTGCGTTTGGTATTGGATTGTTTAAGTTCATTTGAGGGGTATTTCGAACTTTTCCAAAAATGTATTCCTCCTTGGTAGATGTGGGGGTTAAAGCTTTGGTGGATGACGTTTCGCCCTCAAATTCACTTTCAATGATCTATATGAATAATCATTTGAGACGTGTTTCACATTTTTCGCAAAAACTAAACTCCTTCGGTAGAAATGCGATTCAAAGAGTTTTTGGGCGATGTTTTAAGTGATGTCCGATTTGCTTCAAAGCTTCAGCTTTTTGGAAAATCCATCCCTTCTTGATGGAATGGGTGTCAAAGATTTGGTGCGCGACGTTTCCCGCTTAAATTCATTTTTAAGGATCCATAAGAAAAATTATTTGAGACCTGGTTTACATTTTTCGCAGAATCAACGCATTCTCGGTAAAAAGTGCAACTGAAAGATTTTTATGGTGATGTTTTAATTTTTTCCGACTTGCTTTAAAATTATTTTCAATGCTCTTCATAAAAACTTAATGAATACGTGTTTTAACGATTTGGGAAATTCTATCCGAAACAGTGGTTAATTGGCGGAAAATGTTTGTATGAAAGTTGTTTATTTACCGTCCGATAAGTTTTAAAATCATTATCAAAGCTTTTTGAGAACCTTTATTTTATACGGGCAAGCATTTTGAGATCATTTATTTTATACGGGCAAAGCGGGCTATACCCGCTAGTATATGCATGAATGCAAACACACATGCAGGCATACAATAACACACACACATATATATACATACATACACACATATATAAATAATACTTATATCCCTTCGTACAAAATACTTGTGTTTTTTTTCTGACTGAATGACTCTGGTTCTAATACGTTCTGAGATCCTTGCGGTCATGCATACGGATACCCGGGACAGACAGACTGCATTCGATAAGGTCGGACAGAAGGGAATTTTCTTCTAGTTGTAGTCTCATCTCCCAGCGCAAAAGTTGATTAGCATCTGAAAAAAATGCATATTAATTTTGTTACAAATTGCAACATAAAAATGGATACCTATTTACTGATTATGTGGTGTTTATATGCCACTGATCCGTGCCACGCTGGAACTGGCGGGGCGGCTTAGTCGAGTAGCTCTACGTTTTAACAGATGAGTGCCTCGACTGAAGCAGTGACTTCACGGAGACGAGGATGTTGCGGGACGAATTATGCTACCGATAATTTAGTATTAGGTATACTCTAAAAAGTGTGGAATTATTACTCCTTGTGGCTCACATACTGATACATCATTTAACTCGTTTTATTTAATATCAAATCTCTTGACAAAATGAAAAAATAAACAAGTAAAAAGTTCTAGTCGGGAGCTCCCGACTAGCGGATACCCTGAACCCTCTTCTTCCAACATCAAATAATATATATTCAAGTTTAGAAGCCATATGTAAAGTTTGGTGACTCTAGCTCTTGCTTGGAAACGGAGTAAGTTATCGATTATCGGAAACAAACTCGATCTGCGCAGGCCCTGGGAGCAGCTAAAATTTCAAGTCTCTAGCTCTTATAGGTTCTGAGATCCTTGGGTCATACATACGGACGGGCAGACAGACGGACATGGCTAGATCGACTCGTCTATTGATGCTGATCAAGAATATATATACTTTATGGGGTCGGAGAAGCTTCCTACTGCCTGTTACATACATATGGATTTTGCACAAATACAATATACCCATTTTTAATGGGTTCAGGATATAAAAATATGTGGAATAATGATTCGATGCACCATTAAATGGTTCCGGATTTGCTGGAAAGGGGCTTCACACGAGGCCCTGCTATAAAATATCATTTAAGCAAAGATATTAATCAAATTCGAATTGATCTTTAGTGTTCGTTTTATTGAATTTTCGGTTCAAGTTTTGTGAACAATATAAAATGAATGGTGCTACAAATAAATTACATGGGTATGCAATGTATAAATAATACTTGTTAAAGTCCAAATCTCAAGATATAATCAACCTACGATAAATGCAATGCTTTCGCTATTTAATATAAGTACCTAGGTATATAATGTTATATATAGGGCAGTTTCCACTCTGGGTCCAGGAGATATTATTTAAAATTAATTATGTACTCGTATGTGATGTATATAATAAAACATTTGTCGGTTATAAAATATATGTGCAAAATTATTCGATAAGTTGTGAACAATAGACATATATGTATATACATGTGTGTATATGCGCCAATGTATACAATTGTTAATGTTTAAACGAATCAAATTGATTTCAGCCTCAAGTTTTAAAAGGCATATGCATCTGTCTGTCTGCTTGTATTTGTATGTATATTTTTGTCAGTATATATACATTTAACACATTTTGAGAATTAAAAGATTATTTATACTTCGATTTTTGTAATTTTGTCAGAACCTTGCATATACATATACACATATACATATACAAAATAATAATAATAAAGTAAATGTTTGCAAAAGCGCCAGTAAGCCACGAATTCTTGAGAATATTAATTACAAGTGAAAACAGAATCTAACCTGATATTCCCACTTACATATATAAAATATAAATAAGTATAAAATTGCTTTAGCAGGCCTGCATGTCTATTCTTGTGTGTTATATATATATATATATATATATATATATATATACTTACAGTTTAGTAAACTACAAAATGTACCTTATATTATGTAAATTGTATTTGCTTGTGTCTCGTTCACGTTTGTATGTAAAACAACTTTATGGTTTGTTTGTCTGCAATTGCTGCGCTCATGCTATGCTCTTGTTTTTTGGAAATTTCGTTTTCTCAAACCGAGTGTTAAATGCGTGCGGAAACATTACTATTTTACTTCTTCGAAAGCTACTTTATAGCGTTATCAGACAAGACGATTCGTTTATTTCGACTTGTTCGCTGATTTCGCAACATAGCACAAACGCAATTTATACATTATCTTATGGATATATCTTAAAAAATAAACTGCTTATATTATTGTGTCCAGCTGCCGCGCTTGGTGTAAAATCTTCTTCTGATGTCCTACCAAAGTTATACCCATATCCGATAGCAGTTGAGCTGTTAATCTTGAGATCTATAAACATAAAACCAAACTTAACTTAAAGTTTCAGTTTAACAAGGGTGTTGAGAGAAAACACATACCTGTTGAGCACTCACTAAATTAGCCTCTCTAAAGTGTTGACTGTATCTTGACATTTTAATATTTTCTAGCCATAAATCAGTACTAATGAAAATGTTATGACCTCGTTGTGTATCCAAAATATGTGTACTATCATTTTCTGGTGAATTTCGGGTCGTTAACAGAGATTGCGGCTGCCTGGCCAAATTATCCAATGTCGAGACAATACTGGCAAATGATGGCCGATGCGTCCTCTGCTTCTGCCAGCAATCCAACATCAGCTGATACAGGGCCTCGGGGCAATCCATCGGGGCTGGCAACCGATAACCCTTCTCAATACTCTTTATAACATCCTAAGAAAAGAAATATTTTAATATATTATTTTTCATTTTCAATCGCGAAAAAGAGTACACATACCTGATTTGACCAGTTCCAATAAGGTCGCTCTCCATATGACATAACCTCCCATAAGACGACACCGTAAGACCAAACGTCCGATGCTGAGGTAAATTTACGAAAAGCTATTGCTTCCGGCGCTGTCCAGCGTACTGGAATTTTGCCACCCTGCAAGAGACAGTGTCGCAATTGAAACCACAAAAATAAACAACGGAAATAAATTGAAAATATATTGTGCTCTTCACATTATAGTTAACGGAAATTAGTTAGAGCAGAAAGCCGACAGTTTGCTTTTGACCAAATTTTCATTATATTGTATTGTTGTCGGGTTGAAAGTAAATGACTTATATATTAGACTAGTTTGCTGACGGATAAACGAAATGACGGACATGGGTTAATCGTTTAGGCTTCTGATACTGATCAAAATTATATATACTTAATGGGGAAGATGTTTCCAACATACATTTCAACACAAAACTAGAAATTAGGTTTCATATTAGTTTGATCAATTTGCATCTATTGAAGAAACACATTTAATATATATTAAAGCTTACCCGAGTCGTATAGGCGTCGCTGGCATTTTCGATTTCGCGTGACAGACCAAAATCGGCAATTTTGCAAATCAATTGGGCATTGACGAGCACGTTTCGAGCCGCCAAATCCCGGTGAACATAGTTCATATCGCTCAGATATGACATTCCGCTGGCAATGCCACGCAACATCACAATAAGCTGTAGCGTTTGAAATTTTCCATCGTTGACGCGCAAAAATGTATCCAGGCTGCCGTTTTCCATGTATTCGGTTATAATCATGACTGGATTGGAGC